GCCTGTCCAGGATATGCAAGAGGCCGTGTACAACAGCCATAAATACAGGGAGCTGAAGGGTACCTGCCTCAGCTCAGCTCCTGTTATCATTTCATGAGACATCTGGGGAAAGGCAGAAGAGAATTCACAGGGTGAATGGATTAAAACCACTCTTGCAAGGAGGGATGAAGAAATCAGTTTCCTGGGATTTTGGTATTCTAATTAATTAGAGCAGCATTACAACGAGAGATCAAGGCTCCATTTTAGAGGAGGCAATTACCAAACTCCAACGCCTTTCAGGATACTTACAAAATCAATTTTCATCCAAGAGAACTATATGAAAGTAATTGTGCAATTGTGTTGCACTGGCATGAAGAATACTGCATAACATGAAAGGGGAGGAAAAGAAAGGTCTGCCTGCATATGTTTGCATAGATCTGGTCCTGTTAAGCAATCCCTGCAAGCGGCAGAAAGTTATCTCCAGTTTATAAAGACACTTGTGAAAAGCAGAAACTTTTCCTTTTGGATTCAGTAGATAATACATATTTTATAAGTTGCCTAAGGAAGGTGATATCCCAGCACTTGTGCAAAAAGCTTGTTTGGAACTGACCAAATTCCAGAGCAACCCAAAAACTTTGAATAAACATGAATCCCAAAACTCAACAGCAGTCTTGCTCACATCTGTTGGCTTCCAGCAAATCGTTAGCAATTTCCTAGAAGGCTCTTCATTAGGGAAAAGGTTATCCTGAAAAAGGCTAAACACCCTCCAGCATCATTTCTAGAGATTTAGTGTGTGTGTGACGACAGAATGTAACTTGTTATGTGTGATGCACATAAGATCACATTCAAAATGTGCTTGTATTATTGTGTGCATCCATTTAAACAGAGTTAATTCAACAGACTTCTTTGACAGGGGCTGTGAAAACAATTCTGACTGGATCTTACAACCTGCTCTGAGACAAGTAATCATCCTGTTAGTCTGTTATACACAGATGTGTATTAAGTTAACAAACATGTCGTGAGATTAAAAGCCTGAAAGCTGCCTGCCGGCAGTACTGGCACGGGGAGAGACTGACATAGCTGTGCACTGCTGCATTTAGTGACTTGGACCTGGGCAGGATTGCATGGAGGTGGCTGGCAGGGCTGGGCTGTGGCACGGCTGGACCTTCAGCCTCGCAAGGAGCCCGAAGAGCTAAGGTCAACTGCGCCCTCCAGTGAATGCACCCTGAGCAGGCACTGGCTGCCCATAGCTAAGGGGAATAGGGGCAGGCAGAAGAAAGGAGATCAGTCCTACATCAGAGAAACTGCAGCCCTGTAAGAGCAATTCCCGGGAGTCTCACAGCCCACCCACGGGGCAGCAGCTGGGAATCACCGGCAAACATGCATTCCCAAACTGAAAAAATAACTAACTGCCTAGTTTCTTTTAATTAAGATCTTGACTTATCCATCACTCCAGGATATGCAGATGTTTGGCTGCTGGGATGTATCAACACACCTGAGCACTGGAGGCGATTTGTCTCTTGGCTTCATACCTCAGGAGACAGACAGCAAAGAGGGGCTCCCATCCTGTAATACCTGTGCAGCCCAGCTTATAGCATTGGCCGTCTATGGATGTAAGACTTTGTTACTAGTAATATCCCTGATGCTGCCTTGGTAGAGATTTTCATATGCAAATTTTGGCATATTAAAGGTGTTCTGCTGTTCTGGCATCCTTGCATCAGCTAAGTGCCAAAGTAGCATGCATCATTTTACACTTACGTAAGGAGATAAAGTTTTTGCCTCAAGGATATGATGTTCCAAAGACAGAGATAACATGATGGGAAATGACAAAAAGCAGTGGAGAAGGGGGTAGGGAAAAGAAAACAAAAGAGACAAATAGAAAAGAGAAGGGGCAGGGTACTGCCATGGGAAGACAAGCCTGAGTTTTTCATTTCAGCATGTAAGATGTTTTCCCCAGGTTATCTTTCTTTAAGACCTTTAAGTTATTTTTCTTCATCATCGTCTTCTCATTTGCTACTTCCTTAGGACCATTATTTCGCCTCCTCTGCACTTGCAAAATAATAAGTGGGTCTCATATACAGGATGATGCTACTCTGTGTAAATGCAGCCGCTAAAGAATAGGAATCACTCAGAGCCACGAAAAGCAACATTAATGATAGAAACTGTGGACGACTGTAAACAAATTTATCCCTTCAGTTATTCTCTTCCTCCTTTTCTTTATTTTTTTTGTTATTCAGGCCTGTGAGTTACAGCATCTGTCACCAGAAAATATCTGTTCAAACCAATGTCTTCAGCTTGAACTAATAACCCCACCACCGTTACAGCACCAGGCCTGTCTCTGACAGAAGTGGGGGTGTCCACCCCATTCTGTCCTATACTGCCTCCAGTGACTGGTGGTTCTGCAAGACTTTAACTTATGCAGCCAAGTCAAGTCATCTAGTATTGATGATTAGAAAGATTGTTACTGTTATTGATGATTAGAAAGATTGTTACTGAAATCCCTCTTCATCCTTTGGCATGGGCAGTTCTGTTTGGATTGCTGTTTGATTTGTTTTTTTACTAATTCAGGGATACCTATGCTGTCAGGCCAAGATTCTGCTCTTACTGATGAAAGACAAAATACCCTAAAATGGAATACCTTATTAAAATATAACTATAATTCAACTAAAAGTTAAAACTTCCATGACAAAATAATAAACCCCTGAAAGCTAGTGTCAGGATGGAAAGCCTGATACATATGTGTTCATGAAGAACAAACCCACTTATTTTATAGCCCACCTAGAAATCCAGTTTGTATGTCTTTCTCAGAAATGAGACCTGGGAGATACTAGTAACAGATAACATTGTTCAGAAATGCTTGATGTATTAATGTTAAGCACATACTTATATCCAGTGTGTTCTCCTGTTTCCATATTGCAGTACCTTGGTGAAATTGTTTTGTATGCTGAGATTTGCCACTACAGACAGCTTACAGAAAGTCAAAGTGAGACAGTCATTACAATGTCATATGGAAACACCATTGGTGTGCATCACATCAAACTCACAACATAGATTCAACAAGGTGGCCATGGTCATCGGCACACAGTTACTACATCTCATTAATGCAATAATAACAAAGCTTTGATTCAGAGTAAATACACATTATTAACATATTGTATTAACACCACAGGAAAGATACCGTGCTCTCATCCTCCTTAACATGATGGACACTAACCAGAGTTTTCTTAACTCTCTGCAGAGAGGACCAAGCCCATATGGAGTTACTGTGCTAGACAAAGTGGTGGAAGAAAAGCCAGTTCTAGCAATCCCAGGCCAGGTGCTCCAGCAACCTGCTGCCTTACACTATAACCCTGATGCCACCGCAGGGCTCGGAGATGAAAGCTGAGCCCCTAACCCCTAAACCGCCTGAAGAGGTTTGGGACTCTGCATCTCTAGGCAGGACCAGCTGCCCGAGCGTGCGGATGGGATGGGATGGCTGTAGCCCCTGGGAGCAGGGCGCGCACCCCTGGCTGCCCGGCGGTGCTGTTGAGGGCAAGGTAGGCAGGAGGAGAAGATGCTGGGGAGGAGAGAGGGAAGGATGCTCGTTCCGGGGACACCGCCGGGCCGACAGCTCCCCCGCCACCCTTACCTGCGCCGTGCGCTTTTGTTCCTCCGGCTGCAGCGCCGGTAGCGTTCCGGCCGCCCGGCGGGGGCCATCCTCGTCCTCATCCTCCTGCCCCCGCGCCCCCTGGTTGTCCCGGCGGAGGCGGCGGGGCCCCGTCGCGGCCCGGCCCCGTCTAAGCCTCCGCAGGACGATGAGCGCGGCCGCCGCAGCCCCCAGCAGTACCGCGGGCCAGAGGAGGGCCGGCAGCCGGGCCGGCAGCCCCAGCTCCCCCGCGCCCAGAGCCAGCCGCACCGCCGGGCCCAGCATGGCTGACCCCGGGCCGCCCCTCCCCGGGCTGGGGAGGGGAATGGATGCTGCGCTGCGCTCCGCTCCGCCGCGCAAGGAAAGTTGGTGCCGGAGCTGCGCTGGTCGCGGCGGGCGGCGGCGGAAGGAGGGGTACCGGGGGCGCGGACACGGCTGTGCTCACGGGAGTCTCGATGCGAAGGGTCTGGCCGTGAGGGCGGTTGCGCGGTGGCGAGGGGGTTGGGGGGGACGAAGCCCGGGGGGAGTGGAGGAGGGGGCGAGTGCTCGGCATGAATCTCTGCTATGGGCGAGTGAACGCGGAGAAGCAATCGCGAAGGCGATGCGGTTCAAAGCAGTGGAGCCGCAGGCATCAGCGTTCATTTGAGAGCAGGTCCCGAGGGTCGGGATGCACAGGGGTGGTCACGAGTGATGCGTTTTCGCAAAATTCACCAGTCTAGAGAGAAGAGTTTTTAGGAATGCACATCTCAGGCGCCGTGACAAACGTGCCATCATCGAGCAGCACCCTTGTGATGATTCCAGGAACTGCCGATGTAATACAGCGTGTGATGCGTTCTCATCTAGCGCTGATCCTTGGAGAAATAACCATCTGTCACCGCTAGCAGAACGCTAGGCAGAGTGCCTCAAACCACAGACCTCTCGGCTTTGCTGGATGGAAAATTTCTCCACCCACCTGATGAATAAGTGCAGGTGATGCTCTCACGCAGCGTTTTTTCAAAGTCACAGAGCTTCTTGTAAAATGGCAAGTTGTATTTCATCTTGGCTAATCTGGAGAGGCGGCCTCTGAGAAATAAGCAGTGAAAGGAAGGAAGGAGCCCCTCTTGCAGAAATGTCTCTCAGTGTGGTCATGGCTCACACCTGGCACAAACTCAGGTGTGAGCAGAGCATTACTACAAAGATAGTAAGTAAAGCTTATTTAAACACAACAGCATAAAATGGATAAAACTATGCACAAAAAGCATAAACCTACATGTTTGTAGTAAACCCAGTGCAAAGAAGGAGTTGGTAAGGAAATGGCCTTTATCTGTCTTGGCTTTATTTCACACCCAGCGGAGACCACTCTTCTCCCAAGCACAGATCCAGACACTGGAGCTCAAATCCAAACACACTGTCCTTCCACTGGATTACCACCTCTTCAGGGATGAAAGATTAATCATTCCTGGGCCTAATTCCAATTCATTCTGAACAAGTCTAGCTTTTGAAAGCACAATAAGGTGTCATAGCACTTGAGAAATTTCCAGACAAAATACAGGATGATTGTTAATAAAATTATGTGCTGATTGGCTTTATGGGGAGAAGAAGGTTTTGTGGAGAGAGTGAAAAGTCTTTAATAATCAGAAGAGGGCCATGGGGGTACTATGGTACTTTGAATGCTGTTGTTGGGATGATAAGCTTCTTTTTAAACATGGATCCCACAAATTATCCATTTTCTGTCTATCTCATCCTGCCTGTCTTCTAAAGTTCAGCACTGACTAATTCTGTGCTCTGAAGCCTCAGGATTTTCAGTGTTTCTGTGCCTAGCTCTGATACTGATTCCTTATGAGAATATGTCTGTCTTACCTACCTGGAGCCGTAAGATGGTACCTGGGTAGTTATGTGCAAATATCAGAGATTGGGGCCTTCCTCTGAAGTTAAAAAATGGCAGTTATGTGATTAGTTTTATGTCGATTTGATAGTTGCTTTTTCCCTGTCTTGATTTTTCGGCTCATAAAATGCAGATACATCTCCGAGCTGTTAAAAAGCAAGCAATCTATACCTTGGATCATAAATAAATATCACTATTTTCAGCTCATCAAAATTAGTTTGCTTTTCTTTTTCCCCAGGAAACATAAGCCAAAAGACATTTCAGGAGACAGTGTTGCTTAACTGACTATGAGATCACTGCTTCACACCGTTCCTTTCTATTTCTTTTTATTTTCCTCCACAAAATAAAGGCAGTTACTGTGTCTGGCCTCTACTGGCATTTATTTTTGAAGAAAACCATCACCATATTAGACCTTTTTCTAGTATTAATACAGGCTTATTTAACAACATACCCCTTACATACCCTTACAACATTGGTCTATGAAAATAGCACAGATTCTCATGATGATGCTATATGGAAAATCTGAAATTTTACTGCAAGCTTGAGAAGATATTTTTCTGTTTATGTGTGACACAAACTTACTGCAGATGTCTGATGGGAGCTGTTCTCCATTCAGATTCGGGAAGAAAGTCCAATAACCAGGAATTGGAACCATTTATTTGTTATAGATCAAGATCCAGTCTTATTAATGTTTAAATGTTTCATGAAAACAGTTTGATTTTGACAATTGTGATTTTTTCAAAAGAGGCAAAAGTCTCATTTTGGGTTGTTTCATGATAGAAGCAGACCAGAGTTTTCTAGCTGAAATTAAAAAATAAACTTTTTTTTTTTTAATTGAATTGTGAAAAATTGAAGTTTTCTGAAAAAGAAAGTAGGCAACAAAATAACTGTTTTAATAGCATTACCCAGAAATTATAAGTTCTTGACCTGATGTATTAGCAGTATACTTAAGGATTCACCCGTGGAAGCTAAGAGAAGTACCTTACACCAACACTGCTCGTGTTTAATCAGCAGCAACGGATATGATAGAAAAAACAAGTGATTTCGAACAAGTCAGAGATGTAAAGAGGAAGCTTTTAAACTGCTTCAGCAAAAGTATGTTTGAGGGGCAGCGAGAAGACCTCTTGGCAGTATTTAATACTCCTTAATCATCTTCCCTCAACTGAAGTTCAGAATACTGTAGCTGAAACAAGGTTTTGTTTCTATCAGCTGCTCAGACAGCTTCAAGTAAGGGGAGAGAATGAGCTGTGTCTTCCCTGCTAGGAAAAATTGGCACTTACCGTGTTGTTCAGAACACACCCTGCTCCTAACATTACAAGGCTGTGTCCTCCCCTCTCTGAGACTATGGGAATTTTGGGTAAGTACACAGAAAGTAATGGGGGTTTGCGTTGGTTTAAGCAACATAGAGCAGCTCTTCTTTCTTTAGCTGGTTTCTGAGTTCTCTGTTGGAGCTGTTTCTGGTGAGCACTGTGCAGATGCAGGCGAGAGGATGTTTGATGGGGCAGAGACGAAAGCACAGGTCTCCATTTCAGGCATTCATGGCTAATGAAATGCAGAGCCAGGACATGTTCCCCAGGCACTGAGTCTTGACACGAGGCCCTGCTTCTGGCTGCGACCCTCTTGCTCAGCTGTAATGAAGCCAATTTACAGACTGAGGTGATCTTGCAACCTGTGGCTTGGTTACTTATAGGCTTGAAGGCACATTTGCTCCAAATCCCAATGTTCATCTGCTGATGTACAGGAGATGTATTAATAATGTATTTGTGTAATTCACAAACCTTTCCCATTTTCCCTCCTGTCTGAGGCCCTTGTGCACTAGCTACTTCCCGTGAACACATGTGAAGCTGATAAACTTCCAATCTTGCTTTGCCTATTGTTGAGGAAACTGAGAAGCATGATAGCTGCATGCCTGGCAAAGCATGACAGTAACCAGTAATGAGAGATGAGTGTTTCATTTGTTAGGCTATTGGGCTCATTGCACAGCTGCCCACGTGGCCAGGTATTTGCCATTAAACAAGATGATTAATTCCTTGACAAGTTGATGTCTGGCCTGGCAGTCCGGCATTTCCTTTCGGCATTTGTGGCTGATTTGAGGAATGCAGCTTTATAGATTTTTACTAATTATCTAATAGCTTTTCAATCTCTTGTTTCAGTACATGGAACTGGTGTTAATGAACTGCAGATCTTCAGCATACCATTCTTAACTGATTCCCCTAGTAAGTATGTTTAACACTTGCCTTGGTTTCCTGTACATGATTTATTTGGCTGGTAAGTGATCCATCTTTGTTTGCTGTCAAAGTCTTTGAGTTGGAAAAGGACTTTAATCATGTTACTTGGCTTTTCTGAACAGGGAGAAGAAATGGAGTCAAATAGGCACGCAATGGTAATGCAGTCAAATAAGAACCATGGCCTGAGTTTCTTTCACTAATAAAAAGTTGTGCAAGCTTCAATTTCCCTTTCATTTTCCTAAAGAACATACTGGAAACATCTATTCAGCCAAAGATGTGAAATTAAAACAAAGAAACAAAAACATCTGAAAAGGAGGAAAGAAGGCACTTTCCCAGCTTATGCGTTAAGACCAGTCAAAGAAAACTGCTTCAAAAGGAAGGAGGAAGCCAGCCCTAAGCAGGGCTGCAACTGCTTTTAGTTGGCTGTAGCAATGACACGCATGGTAGACAAAGCCATAGAAGGCACGAGTGCAACAATGTCAGTTCAGTGGGTACAGTGAAAAAGTTGGAGGCAAAACTGAAGTTACTGAATAATAAAGTTGTTTCACTAGCAGATTTGTCAGCAACAGCATGGGACAAAGGAACTTGTTTAGCAGAACACGATCATCTTGAGAACTGTAAACACTACTGGTTTAAAGATAAAATCAAAGGCCTTGAGAGCAAAGCAGAAGCAGACATAAAAATATGCATAGTTGGCTTTCCTGAAGGAGAAGAATTTTGCATCCCTGACAAACTATTCAGAAACAAGCTGTTAAGTGCCCCAGGTCACTCTTGCACCCTTAGCATCCACCTCCCCTGAGCAGAGCTGCATGAATATACAGCAGCACTGGTAGGTTTTCTGCACGTTCCACTGGCAGTGGAGATCTGCGAATCTGGCAGGAGAGTTCATTCCCTTCCCCTCTACAAAAAAGCTGAGTGCAATTACAACACACTATTATAAATATTCAATACAATCAAAAAAATGGAGTTGTCTCTCAGTAGAAGACAGGACTGTTACTATGTTCCTTACATGCATATTTGCTCTCAGTGTTGTTCAGCCTGTGTCTCTGATCCGTCTGTCTGTGAAAATAGCTGGTGATTCTCTATTTCTTTTGACAGGCAATTCAAGTTCGTCCTTTAAAAACTTTCTAGGTCTCTTCATCAGAGACTGGCAGCACGTGTGCATTTTTTGAAGATAATGATGACTACAGGGAAGTCTCCTAAAATGAACATAAGTGTCTGTTCTTGCTTTATTCCAGGCTGGCACACAACACAGTGAACACAGACTAGATTAGTGATGACACACTGTTTATTGCTATCAAAAACAACATTCAGAGAGATGCAGCTGACACACAGGAGGGAAGTGATTGTTACCCTCAGGGAGGCTTTACTGTCAAAAATGTGTAAGTATCCATAAGTGTGGCTTATGCTACAATGTTCAGACAATATCATATTCTCATGTGATCTAGGTTTGAAAGGCCACAGAGTTTTCCCTATGTATGCTCACACAACTCTGTGCCTGAAGACAATCTTTCACTTTGATCTGGAGACAGGAAGGTCTGAAAAATGTACCACATCCACCACATAATTCATGGTTTCTTCTCATGCTTACCCATCCTCCACATGAAAAAAATATATCTTGTTGCTAAATTAATGTCATCTCTTTTTCAGCTTCCCACCACTGATTTTGGTGATTTTCTCTGACAGAGATATCCTTCTCGTAGCTGCTGTGTTCTTCCTGAGAAAGTGCTTCAACGTCACAAGCACATTACCTTTTAAACTCCTTCTGATAAACAAAAGATATTAAATCTCTTTACAATGCTCACCAAAAAACATTTCCACCAGGTCTCAAGCTATTTTTGGAGGTTTTTCTTTTGCACACCCACTTGACATCCTTTTTTCTATGTGGTCATATAGAGAGGTGATATTCAGCCTCTTTAACCTAATTACTTGGTCTTAGCATATGCATTGTGGGATCATTTTAGCTCTCTTTTATGCACCAACACATTAGGGGCTCCAGCAGAGCTGCCTGCTTCTTTGTCCTGTTTCCTAGCCAGTTTATTAATTTTAATTCAAAAACATTTATTGGATTACTATGAGTAATTACTAGAGTAAATGACAGGACTTGTTGGTTGCCAGAAGGTGACTGCTCTGTACTTAGTTCCTTCCTATGCAAAGAAGAAATAATGTTTCTACAGCACTTAGTCCGTCTTGCCAGCACAGACTAATCTCATCACAATGTTGGGAAGAAGTTTAATCTTTTTTTGTGATTAACAGGGAATCTGGAGCACTTACAGATAGATCTTTTTTGAGAATACTGAAGAGATTTGTGGTTGTTGCACAGGCTGATAGCCTTGGTCGGTATGCCATCAGCAGACAAAAGCCTGATGCATTAGTGTTGCTTTCAGATGGTTTGTCCCATCACATATTTGCAGCAGATATGCTCAGTGGATTAAATTTTGTTTCTGCACTGTTTGCAGTACCAATTCCTGTAATGAAGTGGTAAATAATAAATGCATTTGATTTCTTATATTCCTGGCATACCTCCTGTGAATAAAAGTAGCTCTATTTACGCTAGAGCTCTCTAGTAGCTCTATTATACAGAGGCTCTATTTACATGGTGCTCTGCAGGTATATGCTTATTTGTTCTACCCACAGTACACAGGCTGCTCAGACCTGATCTGTGTTCAGTGTTTTCATGTTGGAGGCAGAGAAATTATGAGTCTGGCTTTAAAAGACCATGGGGAGTTCCCAGAGCTGGCCCATCACTAAAGCTCATGATCCTGAGGGATGCCCAGAAGAGCTGAAGCAAGTCATCTCATCATGGGGAGTCAGACTTGAGGCTTATGGGGCATCTGCCTCCCAGATGTAACCTGGTTGTAGATGATTTATTGCTTTGCTTTCTCTTCCTATAATTTCAGTTCTCCTTATATGTGAAGGAGATTATCCTTCTTGGGCATTGCCCGTATACTGTGGGTAGATAAACAGGTTTGTTTAATTGAAGACTCTGATCTGTAGGCAGCCAGATGGGAGGCCTGGAGTCATCATGAAGAAGCTTCCAGATCTAGCTTTGCAGAATAAATTTCTACTAATGACCAAGCAGTTTTCAAGCTGCTGTTTTGTCCAGATCCCAGGCTTGTGTTCCTGAGTTGTGCCCCAAGGATCTAGCCAGAGTCAGAGCAACGCACAGGATTTGTTGAAGCTGCTGCTCTTCTGCTCACCCTGCCTCACAGAAACACAGCCTCTTCAGATAAGTCCAACATTTCTTGTCTGCTCCTATAACTCAAGGAGCCACAATTTCACCTTAAGGCATATGACAATGCAAGCAATGACAGCAATGGTTTCCTATTTTATAATTGCCATGGCAATTATATTGTAACTTAGACCTGCAATTTCATTTATGGTGTTGTCTCTCTTAAAACATGATGTAATTTAGCATTCAAAGCCATCCCACCACCCCGTTCTCACAGCACCCTGCCAGCCACCCCATATAGCATTTTGTTGAAGCAGTGCTATTGGTGACTCCTGTGCAGAGGAGTTCTTCCACATTTCAAATAATGCAGCATTTCAGAAGCCAAGGCTGTGATTTGCAGGTGCTTTTCAGAATGGAGTCTCTTGTAATTTTCCAAGCCTCTGTAGGAGTGCGTGTTTAAGCCAAGCTCAAGTCCTTTAGCTGTTCCCTAAACCCCAGCTTCCTTTCACATCACATTTTATTAAATTTAGGGTCTTCAGTTTAAATTCCCTGTCTAAAGCATCTCCTGAGATGAGATGGCTCTTTTCCCAGCTGTCAATAACTGTGCTGCCTACAGCTTACTGTGGTCTTTAGATACCATGCAAAACATGCAGTTTGATGCATATAAAACAGGAAAACAAAATCTGCTTACCCAGCATGGATCAGAGGCAGTCCTATTTTTAATTCCCTAGCTTGGGAATTATTCACTTTTTATTCACTGGGTTGGGAATGTGGGTAGCAAAGTGTCTCAGGAGGAGGAAATACAGTCTGGAAATGGTAGGCAGCCACAACAGGGCAGGGCGAGCTTTTTGCCTGAGGTGTGCTGCTGCTGGGCAGAGCCACAGTGACCTCGGGACAGGCAGGAGAGGGGCACGCAGCTCTGTGCCCCAGTCCACCCACCACAGAGATTGCAGTGACGGCTGGACACTGAAGCCTCTCTTAGCAGGAGCTTGCTTCCCATCACAGCTTGCTCTTGCTGAAGTCCTTGTGGTCAAAACGTCACAGCCAATTCTGCCTCCTGCTTTCAGCCCTCCTGTTTCATCTGTAGTCCTACTGCTGATCTGAGGCACCCTCTGAACCCTCCTGAAGTCAGGGAAAAGGGAAGGTTTTCACCATCACATAACCTCTTAACAGCTCTCCCCTAATTAGCCTCAGGTTATGGGCAGCATGAGGGAGGGCAGCTCCTGTTGAAAAAGGGTTGGAGTAGATGGCATGTCCTGTGGGAAAAGCTCAAATGCTGGAAGGAAGTGCTGGTCATCATTATGTCAAGAGTGTCTGCTGACACTTCATTGTGTTTCTGTCTGAAAATGAATTATTTGCTGTTACAGGCAAGTTCTAAGATGAAAAAATCATGGCAGTCAGGTGAAGTTCCCGAAGACTGGAAAAAGGGAAATACAACCCCCATTTTCAAGAAGGGGAAAATAAATGACCCAAGGAACTACAGACCAGTCAGTCTCACCTCTGTGCCTGGCAAAATCTTGGAGCAGATTCTCCTGGAAGGCATGACAAACAACAAGGTGCTTGGTGACAGCCAGCATGGCTTCACTAAGGGGAAATCCTGCCTGACCAATTTGGTGGCCTTCTATGATGGGCCAACAAAACTAATGGACAAGGGTAGAGCAATTGACGTCATCTACTTGGACTTGTGCGAAGCATCCAACACTGTCCCATATGATATCCTTGTCTCTAAATTGGAGAGACATCAGTTTGATGGATGGACCACTCAATGGATAAAGAACTGGCTGGATGGCTGCATGTAAATAGCTGTGGTCAATGGCTCAATGACCAGCTGGAGACCAGTAACGAGTGGTGTCCCTCAGGGATCAGTGTTGGGTCTGGTCCTGGCCAACATCTTTGTCGCTGACATGGACAGTGGGATTGAGTGCGCCCTCAGCAAGTTTGCCAATGACACCAAGCTGTGTGGTTCAGTTGATATGCTGGAAGGAAGGAATGCCATCCAGAGGGACCCTGACACGCTTGTGAGGTGGGCTGATGTCAACCTCATGAAGTT